TTCACCATGTTGACCAGGATGGTCTCGATCTCTTGACCTCGTGATCCACCCGCCTCGGCCTCCCAAAGTGCTGGGATTACAGGCGTGAGCCACCGCGCCTGGCCTTTTTTTTTTTTTTTGAGACGGAGTTTCGCTCTTGTTACCCAGGCTGGAGTGCAATGGCGCGATCTCGGCTCACCGCAACCTCCGTCTCCTGGGTTCAGGCAATTCTCCTGCCTCAGCCTCCTGGGTAGCTGGGATTACAGGCACGCGCCACCATGCCCAGCCAATTTTTTTTGTATTTTTAGTAGAGACGGGGTTTCACCATGTTGACCAGGATGGTCTCGATCTCTTGACCTCGTGATCCACCCGCCTCGGCCTCCCAAAGTGCTGGGATTACAGGCTTGAGCCACCGCGCCCGGCCAAGCTTTAAGTTTTAAATGTTGTTTTATTTTAAGGCTCCAGAAATATTTCACATTAGTTCATTACTCTATCGCCAATGTCTAGCATATTAATGCCTGGCAGATAGCAAAGGCACACAATTAATAATTGTAGAACCTAGCTACTTAGCCCCAAAGGAAAAAATAATAATAATAATTGTAGAACCAATAAGTAACACTCAAAAGTGAGAAATCAGGCCAGGTGCAATTGCTCACGCCTATAATCCCAGCACTTTGGGAAGCCGAAACAGGCGGATCACAAGGTCAGGGGTTCGAGACCAGCCCAACCAACATGGTGAAACCCCGTCTATACTAAAAATACAAAAATTACAGTGGCCCACGCCTGTAATCCCAGCTACTTGGGAAGCTGAGGCAGGAGAATCGTTTGAACCCAGGAGGCAGAAGATCGCACCAATGCACTCCAGCCTGGGAGACAGCGAGACTCCATCTCAAAAAAAAAAAAAAGTAGGTGGGGGAAGAAATCAGGAGTGGCAAAATCCTAGGCTTTTTAAGTCTAATGTGAATTACATTAAACCACCAATAACTATAAGCTATTGGTAGTGTTTGTCACTCTCATTCTAATCTCACTTTCCCTCTCTATCATCCCCTTGGTAGGAAAAAGAGGCGCTTAAGAGCAGAGCAAATTGGAACAAGGGATATTATCTTTTCATGTTGCTGAGTTTCAAAACATTACTCCTTTGAACAATAAAACTATGCCAGATTACAAAATAGCTATGCTCTTAATACAGGAATGATATTTTCCCATGCTTACCGATGCTTTTACTTTTGTGGTATCAACCATATCATAAACGGGAGTGCAATAAACAATCAGTATAAGAAGACTCAGAAGGAAGGCACTGCAGCTTACAAACTCAAAAAAATAAAGTCCTCCACACAAAGTACATTGTGATACAACTTCTTCACAGATGAAGGCCAGCAGAGACAGCAACTACAAATGAAGAAAAACATTTCACTTAAGCGTTTTTCAGAGAACCTATCTATTTAGAAAGCTGTTTCTGAATAAACTCTGTTTACTCAAATATTTACAACGTGGAGACTATGGCAAACAAGATTAGTCAATAAACCCCATCTACACAGAACTTACAGTTTAGCTGCCTTGAAGGAAATACAGCTACATAAATAATTAATTAACCCATCGTATACTAATGCCAGAACAGGGGAAATATATATTGTTATAAAAGCACATAGGAGAGATGCTCAACTTCAGGGTCAGGAAAGGCTTCCTGAAGGAGAAAGCTGAGACCTGAAGAACAGAGTCACTTTCGGGGATTAAAGATTAAAGAAAGAAATTCCCAGCAGAGAAGCAGTACATAGAAAGGCCCAGAAATGAGAGAGCACGGCAGCTGCCCCCATGACCCAACATAGACACATACCCCAACCTCCAACTGAACTGTCAAAGTGAGTCAAATCAACAAGGCTCAAGTACAGTCTGAGGGAAGAGAATGGCAGCATACAAATTATTATGAGACTACAGAGGCAAGCTGAGGCCAGATTTAAATGTCCTCATTAATTAAAAAGTCTGGATCTTAAGGGTTTTAAAGTAAAGGTTGATAATGATCAGGTTTATGCTTTCAATAGTTCTTATTGGCTACAATATGGAGAAAGGACCAGAGGTAAGGCAAACCTTTTGGGGCAGACATCCAACTGGGAAGCTGATATAGGAAATCAGGGCAAATAATAGCGCTTAGCAGCAATGGAGAAGAGTGGCAATCACTGAGAGAGGCAGCAGGAGCTCGTATCAGACAAGATGCCTAGAAAAACGTGGAACACGAGAAACACGAGCACCTTAAACACTTTAACTTAAAAAGACACATTATGAGCAGCCTGGCCAACATGGCGAAATCCTGTCTCTACTAAAACTACAAAGATTAGCTAGGCATGGTGGCAGGTGCCTATAATCCCAGCTATGCAGGAGGCTGAGGCAGAAGAATTGCTTGAACCTGGGAGAAAGAGGTTGCAGTGAGTCAAGTCTTACCACTGCACTCCAGTCTGGGTGACAGAGACTCAAAATAAAAAAAAAAAAAAAAAAAAAAAAAAAAAGGCCCATTTATTCTTCTCTTCAAGTGAGTCTTTTCTTTACAGGTGTACTGACTGGAATTCCACATTTTCTGCACTAATCACTTTCCCACCTATGGAGTACCACTTCCAGACTGATGTTATTTGAAGTGAAGTGAGATCGTAAACACTTGAGAAACAGTTCAGAATCTTTCTAGAGTCGAACTCATTTTACCAGCCTTTTTCAGTTGCCTCGCTCTTCCTTAATTCCACGGCAGATATATATTTTAGTAACTTATCTTTCAGTATTTCCAAAGCATTCAGTTTAAAAAAAAAAATTCCTTTTCACACTCAGTTTCAGCTTTGTAATATTTAAGAGTTTGGCCATAAAAGTATAGTTAGCATAAAGCAGTATGAGAACACCACAACTCGACTGATGACAGAAGCAAGAGTTCCAGAGTGCTAATGAGATGGCTACGGGCCACGGCAGGCTGTGGGTGACTGGTATGGGGTCAGGATGCTTTGTATGGTGAGTGGAGAATGTTAACTCTAGTTAACTTGGCAACCCAATTATACACAAGTGGTTTTTAACTACTTCCAACTGCTATATATGTGATACTAACAATACTGGTCCTCACTGAAGAGTCAGGATTTTTTCTTTTTAAAAGGCAAAGGTGCTGGAGAAAAGATTAAATTCAGTTTTAAATGTGCTGTGATTGAGAGGTCTGTGAAAGAGTTAGGTGGAGGTGTAGTTGGAAAGCAAATGAACATATGGGTCTGGAGTTGAAAGGAGAGGTCTGAGCTGCAGATGAAGACGTGGGAGGCAGCAGAGTGGGAAGGTGTGATGACCCAAATGAGGAAAGACAGCCTTATGTGGAAATCTGAGGAATTGAAGAATTATGGGATACGCAGAGAGGAAGAAACCAGAAGACCACAACTAAGAGCATCAATCAAAAGGGTAGTAAACAAGAAAAAAGTATTTACACACTTACCCACACACATAATCAAGAATGCTCAGTGCTACTTAGAGGTCAAGTAAGAACAACACTGAAACACCTACCTTAGACTGAGCTATCAGAAGGTTGCCAGAGACACCAGCAAGGCAAGTTCCAGGGTAGTCAGGTAGAGAAACTCGATTACAATACTGTATATTGGGAAGTAAGGGGAGGGTAAGGCAGAGAAATAAGAAATAGCATAGTCAACAAGTGTGGCTGGGAAAGAATGGCCAGACAGGGCAGTAGTGGATGAGGTCAAAGAGAAGGGAATTTCAACATGGGAGAGAACTGAGCATGTTTAAATGCTTAGGCAGAAACCAGTAAGATGGGTGGGTCTAAAGACAGAGGTAGAAAAATGACTCTCTAAAGATAGGATTCAGGAATCAGGTTTGGGGCTAACTCTTCTCTAGAAACAGAAGGAAAGACAGAGAAGAAGAGTGCTCTGCTTGGGCAGTTTGTGTGGGTTTTGGGGAAGCTGAGGGAGTTTCCTTCTGAGGGCCGAAACCATCAAAATGACTGATGACCCAAGTGAGAGGCTAAAGGGAATTACCTTCTCACCCCAGTCAGGCCAGTAGAAGCAGCCACACAGGTTAATGGCAACAGGATTGCTACCAAAATCAACAGATACATTTCAGAGCAACAGTAAACATCTTATCCTACAAAACATTTTCATTCAAAAGAGTCAATGGTACAGCCATCCTGAAAAACAGTTCAGCAGTTTCTTTCAAAACTAAGCATGTATCTACCATACAACCCAGTAATAGAACTTTTGGGCATCTATCTCAAAGAAATGAAAACTTTATGTTTGCACAAAAACTGGTACATGTTTATTACAATTTTATTCATAATAGCCCCAAACTAGAAACATTCCAGATGCAATGGTTAAAACAAACTGTGGTAAGGCCGGGCACGGTGGCTCACGCCTATAATCCCAGCACTTTGGGAGGCTGAGGCAGATGGATCACGGGGTCAAGAGATCGAGACCATTCTGGTCAACAAGGTGAAACCCCATCTCTACTAAAAATACAAAAAAATTAGCTGGGCATGGTGGCGCACGCCTGTAATCCCAGCTACTCGGGAGGCTGAGGCTGGAGAATTGCTTGAACCCAGGTGGCGGAGGTTGCGGTGAGACAAGATCGCGCCATTGCACTCCAGCCTGGGTAAGAAGAGCGAAACTCTGTCTCAAAAAAAAAAAAAAAAAGAAAAGAAAAGAACAAAACAAAACAAAACTGTGGTATATCCATACTATGGAAAACAAACTGTGGTATATCCATACTATGGAATATTAGCAATAAAAAGGAGCAAACTTGATACATGTAACGTCCTAGATGAATCTCCAGAGAATTATTCAAAGAAAACAAAATCCAATCTCAAAAGGTTACATATTGTATGATTCCATTCATAGCCCATTCTTAGAATAAAAATAATAATGATGGCTAACAAATTAGTCGCAGCCAAGAGAAAAGGGAAGGGTGTGGCTACAAAGGGGTAGCACAGGGAAGCCCTATGCTGACGGCACAGTTCAGTACCTTGATTGTGGCAGTGATTACAGAAAGCAATACATATGGTAAAATTACACAGAATTACACACACATGCACACACATATGAGTGCATGGGACCTCTCGGTACACTTTTTTTTTTTTTTTTTTTTTTGCAATTTCCTGTGAATCTATAATTATTTCAAAATAAAAAGTTAAAAAAAATAGTTCAAATCTATACTGGTATCCAAACCTTTAACGGATTTCCTCTCCCTCCTACCGGCTACACAAAATGTATATATCCCCACAACTGAAAATAATTTATATAAAAGAAAAAACATAGGTACTATCCCTCTGATTTTCTGTAAGTTAGTGAAGCATGAAATAGCCCAGCATGTCCCAAACAACGTTCTTCAGACAGATGTTAGGTAAGGCACTCCCAATCACTACACCACAGAATATAAGGTGACAACGCTTCCTTGGTTTCCTGCAGTCATAGTCACAGGATAAGTTTTTACACGACTATAGTCTAATAAAATATGAAACATCTAACATTTCACTTGCCCTTTTCTTGCCTCTATGTTATATCTTGTCCAAGTTTTAAAAGTTTCTCTATGAGAAATTTGCAAAATATGCCTCAGGTGTATAAAAGTCAATTAACTGAGAGAAGATACCAGCCTAAAATTCTAGGGTTTGGGAATAAACCATTCATGCTACAATTAGACTATGAGGCATACTCATGTGTGAAGGTTACATGGCAATAAAATATTATCTGTAGGATAGACATAGGCTGCTTGTCTAATCTCAGTTAAAAAAGGACAGGATCCAGCTTGTCCAGAAGCAGTCAGTCTCAAGTCATTACAAGTCCTATGCCAAATGCATTAATAGGGGTCATTCTTATTGACCTTCAGCCTCAGAGCAACAATAAGAGGCAGGTTCTGCCTGGATATCTTAAGAGAATGAAGGAGTAAGTTTGGACATCTGGCAGGGCACAGTAGCTCACACCTGTAATCCCAGCACTTTGGGAAGCCAAGGCGGGCAGATCACTTGAGGCCAGAAGTTCAAGACCAGCCTAGCCAATATGGGAAAACCTCATCTCCACTAAAAATATATAAATTAGCTGGGCATCACAGCACACGCCTGTAATCCCATTGGACAGCTGAAACGTGAGGATTGCTTGAACCCCAGAAGGTGGAGGTTACAGTGAGCCAAGATTTCGCTACTGCACTCCAGCGTGGGTGACAGAGCAAGACTCTATCTCAAAAAAAAAAAAAAAAAAAAATTGGACATTTGTTAGTTCCCATCTCAAGTTAAAAGCCAAGAAATTGGCACTACAAGCTGTAGTCAATATGAAATTCTGTTGGCCACGTGCAATGGCTCACACTTGTAACCCCAGCACTTTGGGAGGCTGAAGAGGGAGGATTGCTTGGGCTCAGGAGTTTGAGACCAGCCTAGGCAACATGGTGAAACCCTGTCTCTACCAAAAAAAGAAAAAAAAAATTATCTGCATACCCATCTATGAGGCTACTAACCTTCCTAAGTTCCCACAGCATAACACAATTGCTAGTTCAAAGTGTACTTGAGTATACTGTTCTACGTACAGGAAGATGTAATGATGGAGTAATAAGCTCAATGTACAAGAAACGACAATAATAAAATATATTTTATACCACATTAACTGCATTCATTATATGTAGGTTAGAAAATCTCAAGAAAATGTTCTGAGGAGCTAGAAAAGGATGAGTGGAAAAGCAGGACTCAAACCAGACGGAGACACACACAGAACCTGGAGAGACAGATGACATTCTATGTGGAAGATGATAAAGAACACATTCGTAATGGCAAGGATTTCCACGGTAAATCCAAAAATGATAATAAGACAACTGACCTAACTGGATGGGGATGATGAAAAACATGGTTTAGGAGTTGGGTGAGGTTGTGTGATGATCATGCAAGGGAATATGATGTCTAGATGAAGGCAGCAGGGAACGCCAGCCCGGTTTAGAAGGTTAGAAAACAGGAGGACAGAGGATTGGGTGGAGCCTGAAGGAATTCTACAGTTCAAGAGGAGGAGGGAAAAGAGCAAGCAGCAGAGGACAAGCAAGCCAAAGGAAGTGTTTTCAAAAAAAGAAAACTCCTTTAAAAGCAGCAAGTGAACATACTCCAAACTGTTAAACAGTGACACCCGGCAGTGTGAGGGGTGGGAAAGTGGTTTTATTTTAATATTTTCAGTTTTTTTTTTTTTTTTAGTAAGCAGACACTTTTTTGTAATAAAAAGAAAAAAAGTGTAAAAGTTGAAGGAAGAATTTTGAGAAATGAGCAGTCACCAGCATTAAATGCCAAAGTGGTCAAGAATAGGAAGAGAGAAAAATGTCACAGAATTAGGTAAGAAGTTAATGGTAAATGCAACCCATAAGTAAAAAAGCTCAATTACTGTTTTTGTCAATTACAATGTTTTCTCAAAAACTATTGAGAAAGTTTTTTTCTCAATAGCATGAAGTCATCAGACTAAATACTGCTTACTGAATATTAAGCTAAGTACCTAACAACTGTATACCCAACGTAACTCCTTCTAATGACATAAAATTTTACCCAAATATAATTAAGGGAATGATCAAGCTTTTAATGTCAGGAGGGCCCTTAGAGAGCATATAGTCTCCCACCCTCATGTTTACAAAGATGGCATTAATCTACTGACAGGTTAAGCCTCAAGTTAGCTTGGCACAGACAACCCAAGCCTCTGACTCCCACTCTGTATTTCCTGTCCCCATGAAACACTGTTAAATTCCTTTTACAACTATGTCTGTTTGTGTAGGTTTTCCCCATAAGACTGGGTTTCTGAAGTTAAAACCACAGTTCTGTGTATTTCCCTTAATGTATTAATCATACATCAAAAACAATTTGCTGACATCAACAGATTTGGGAAGTCTCAGTGACTAAAAGGTGATCTTACTCACAGCTCCGGTGATTTAAACACTGGATAATTACTACCCTGCATCTATCTCTCCATTTCAGTTTCACTACCTTTTCTGAAATTTTAAGTATTTCTTAAAACTACCACTATATTAAATACGAATTCTCCATTAATTTACTAGTCACTACTTATATTTCATAAAAAGAATTTTTAAAGATTTGCCATTAATTATAAGGCTCCACCTACAAAATTATGTGAATTATAAATTAACGAACTTTACTACTAAAAACCTTATAGTTATAAGTAAAATTCAAATTAAACAATCCATTGGTCTGAAGAAACAGGCCAGGCCTCCCATGCCTTAGGCAAATATTTGCTCTTACAAAGGTTCAAAGGTGTAATTTGATGACACTATGGATCCTCCTCAAGGCAAAAATGGAATATTTCAATTTATTATACATCAGTTTTCATATATAAATAATGAAAAGAGCAGCAATATGAGAAATTCTTCTAAGTAATTTCTTTCTTGGTACTTATATGGTAACATTACTTATAATGTAATAAATTGAAAAATCACTAGTGAATTCTAAAACTGCTTGCCAGATGAGTGACTAGAATCCCAGTACTGTGCAGCTATCAGGACAGTCAACTGATAGCATGGACACAATGTGGAGCTTGTTGCACAGAAAATTACACATATTTAGGTCACTGCACCAGCGTAACAGCAAGCAATTAGGCTACCAAACGTCAATTCTCCCCTTAAAACAAAAACTCCCTCAAAAGAACTCACAAAATAAAACATGAACATATGGACAAATCTAAGGATAGTATAAACTGAAAAAAACTGCATAAAGTTAGGACTCCAATAACTCCTTGTACTGAATTCTCAACTGAGTATTTCTTCTTAAGCTCTGGAAGGGTGGATGGTAGTTGGGGGTCGCTTAGGTTTTTGACAAAATTCAGGTCATATCTGAATGGCAGACACAGCTATGTAACTTCAAGGGACAGAAAAGCTATGTTTTTTTTTTATCTCTAATCTCCTGTGTGTGTGTACAGGCTCCACTCTCTATCCCATCAATGTTCAGTTCTGTAACAGCAAACCCCATGGCGCCTCAGAGGTTTGAAAAAAAAAAAATCTTAAGAGTGGAAAGAACCTCAGAGGTAATCCAATTCAATCTACTAAGACTCTAAAATTTAAGAATTTCCTAAGTATATACACAGTGTCTAGTTTCTAAGTTTTAGAGCAGGCTTCCTTTGTCTTGTAGGATCTTTGACACTCTGTTAAGATTTATGGATCCGGAATAATATACTCAAACACAAAAGTGTACAATATTTTGAACATAATTTCAAAGGGTTTGCAGGTCCCTTGTTAAAACACCTCCCCTTATGATTATGAGTTTCTCCCTTACAGTTGTTTCCTTACTGGAGCTCGGCAATTATGTTTCGGTTTTTGAAAAATTAAACATCTAAAGTAAAACAACCAATCTATCAGAGTTTAAGTTAAGGCAAAGACCCTGCCTATAGCTCCATACTGGAAGACAACTTTTACTGACTTCATATGTAACTCTCTTGGGACTTTCTGGATAATTCCTGTAATACACTGTTCCTGTGAAGAGAGAAGACATTATCAAAACAGACGAAGCAGGAACAAAAAGACAACCATCAAAGTGAAAAGCAATAATGAAAAAATATTTTTAAATCTCCATATTAAAAAAGGCATTCTTGAGTAAGGAGGGGAGGCGGGGCAGGCAGGCCCAAGGCCTGAAGCCCACCGAAGCCCACCCACCGCGCCTGTAGCAGCCGCTCTTGTCCTCTGGGTACGGCTCGCAGGAGTGTTGGTTACCATGGTGAAGCTGGCAGCCAAATGTATCCTGGCAGGAGATCCAGCAGTGGGCAAGACCGCCCTGGCCCAGATCTTCCGCAGTGATGGAGCCCATTTCCAGAAGAGCCATATACTGACAGCGGGAATGGATTTGGTGGTGAAGACAGTCCCAGTTCCTGACACGGGAGACAGTGTGGAACTCTTTATTTTTGACTCTGCCGGCAAGGAGCTGTTTTCGGAAATGCTGGATAGATTGTGGGAGAGTCCCAACGTCTTATGTCTCGTCTATGATATGACCAATGAACAGTCCCTCAACAACTGCAGCAAGTGGCTGGAGAAACCTCAGTCACAGGCTCCAGGCATCTGTCTCCCAGGTGTTTTAGTTGAGAACAAGACAAACCTGGCCGGCAGATGAGCAGTGGACTCCACTGAGGCCCGGGCGTGGGCGGTGGGCCAACGCCTGGAAATGTTTTGAAACATCCGTGAAGGAGATGGAAAACTCTGAAGCCCCTTTCCACTGCCTGGCCAAGCAGTTCCACCAGCTGTACCGGGAGAAGACGGAGGTTTTCCGAGCACCGGTGTAAAGGCTAGAGTGGATCGTGCCGTAAGACCAGAGAAGACAGAATTACCTCTGCACTGTTAATATATAATGACGGCTTTAAAGAAAATTAGAGAAAATGTAAAAAAAAAAAAAAAAAAAAAAAAAGAAGGCATTCTTGTAACATAAACATTTCCCCATAAACAAATAAATGGATTTCATAAAGAGATATTTGTTTTTATCCTTTCCCCATTTCTTCTTATGAATGATGGAGAGCAAGTAAGAATAGTCTAACAATCTTTTTTGTTTTTTGAGACGGAGTCTCACTCTGTTGCACAGGCAAGAGTGCAGTAATGTAATCTTTGTTCACTGTAACCTCTGCCTGCTGAGTTGGAGCGATTCTCCTGCCTCAGACTCCTGTGTAGCTGGGATTACAGGGGTGCGCCACCACGCTAGGCTAATTTTTGTATTTTTAGTAGAGACAGGGTTTCCATGTTAGCCAGGCTGGTTTTTGAACTCATGATTAAGGTGATACGCCCACCGCAGCCTCCCAAAGCGCTGGGATTATAGGTGTGAGCCACCGCTCCCGGCCTAGTCTAACAATCTTTTAAGGCAAATTCATCTTCTCTGTGTCCAAATATAACATTTACCACAATAATTTCTGGTTGTGTTCCGTGTTTTCTTCTATAATAGCAATAAGGAAGGAAACCAGTTATGTTCTATTGCAAAGACATAAAACTACAGTTTACTATAGTAAGGTATTGAGAAATTTTACTTTAGCTTTGCCACTTTTTATTACAAAGAAAAAACAAATGCAACTGAAAACAGATTTTATGGGCAACAAATTGATACACACGATTGTTTTAAGCAGCAAGAATGCTTCAGATGGGCTGGGCACAGTGGTTTATACCTGTAATCCCAGCGCTTTGGGAGGTCTGGGGGCGAATCAGCCTGGTCAACATGGCGAAACCCTGTCTCTCTCTCTCTTTTTTTTTTTTTTTTTTTTTAAAGATGGGGTTTCCCCATGATGGCCAGGCTGGTCTTGAACTCCTGACCTCAGGTGATCCACCCACCTCGGCCTACCAAAGTGCTAGCATTACAGGCGTGAGCCACCGCGCCGGTCTCTATAAAAAATACAAAAAAAGGCAGGGGGCGGCGGCTCACACCTGTAATCCCAGCGCTTTGGGAGGATGAGGAGGGCAAATCAATAGGTCAGGAGTTCAAGACCAGTCTGGCCAACACAGTGAAACCCCATCTCTACTAAAAATACAAAAAATTAGCCCGGGTGTGGTGGTGTGCGCCTGTAACCCCAGCTACTTAGGAGGCTAAGGCAGGAGAACCGCGTGAACCCGGGAGGTGGAGGTTGCAGTGAGCCAAGATCGAGCTATTGCACTCCAGACCTGGCAACAGTGTGAGACTCCGTCTTAAAAAAAAAAAAAAAAAAAAAAAAAAAAAAAACGCACACATACACACAAAATTAGCCAGGCACGGAGGAGGCAGAAGTTGCACTGAGCCAAGATCGCACCACTGCACTCCAGCCCAGCGACAGAGCAAAACTCAAAAAAAAAAAAAAGCTTCAGATAAATGTTCTTTTCTGTTCCAAAGAGTTCTACTATTCATGCAGAAAATTTCAGCTTTACTGAAGAGAAATACAGCTGATATCTAAAAATCATGTGACAGCTGACAAGAGGAAGAGCAGAGGGAAGATGGTGGAAGGAACAGGTTATGCAAAGGAACAGTGGTAGGAAGGAGCCCCTGATGCCTCGTAATAAATTAAAGGTGGCCGGTGTGGACCCACCTAAAGGGAGAATGGAGAGAAAGATAAGGCTCGATCCTGCTGGGTTCCATAGACCACATTACCACTTGCTTTCAAAAGATTTCCCAGTCATCATCAGATATGATCATTTTGATCACTCAACAGCAGTGCCGATTTTCCGACTTCTGTTTTTCTATTCAATAAAAGTAGGTCATCTGAATTCTAAGAATTTAACTTCTAGTCATTTGAGTGGTAAGAATTTAAGTTCTTTACAAGGACGCCAATGAGATACCTTTTACTTACAATGGTTAAAAAACAAAGCAAAGTAAGACAAAACAAAGCCCATAAACATTCTAATCATTCGGATTTTTCCTACACTGGTTCTACTGCAGAAAATGTTCCTCCTCATCTGTGGCTGAAACAGGACACAGGAGCTCAACATCACTGTAAAGCGAATTATAATTTAAATCTCAAAAGATGCTGTGTTTTTTTCACTAATAGATTTATGGTACTTTAACTGCTTAAAAGAAACTCAATGCAATGGAAAGCTGCGTACCGTGTTCTAGTTCTATCCGCACATACTCACAAAAAGCTGCCCTTTGACTTTCCACTTCGAACCCATATTGCTCAATTCTGAAATAATTCTTTTCCAGTCAATACCAAACTTTTAGAAGACAATTTACTGGACATGCACACACACACACGCCCCCCTCAACGCCATGCTTGGTATCGAGGACTTTGCCCAGCAGGTTAAACTACCCCCAAGGGCGCTCAACAGGAAAACCGCAAAAGCCAGAAAAGATAAACAGAAAGCGCTTCACAGTCTAATTACAGGCACTGTGGACGATAATGCAGAGTAGAGCCGGGAGAAGGGAGGAAAGCGCCACGGAAGATGAGTGGAAGAGGTTCAAGCGGCTGCCCTGGGTCTCCGACGCATTTCCTGGGCCCGCTTAACAGGCTGGGTGGCCGCAGGTCGCGGGATCCCGACGCGGGGAGCCGTGGGGCCGAGGGGCCGCCCGGCGGAAGGGCGGAGGGTAACGCCCCCCTTCCCCAGGCGGAGAGAGAAGGAACTAGAGGTGTAGAAACCACCTCGTACTGAACAGCCAAGCCGAAGAGAAGCAGCTCCGCGGCCTCCCAAGCCCGGGCCAGACCCCGCTCCCCAGCCCGGGCTCGCCTCACCCCCGCGGCCAGGCACTCACCAGCTGCAAGCCCTTGAGAACGCGCCGGAGCCAGGGGAGTCGGCCCAGGAAGAAGTAGGCAGCGAGGCCGCTCCGGGGCCCTGTGGCGGAGCCCGGGTCCTCCTCCGTAGTGGGGCTGTACACCGCTCCGTTCTCCATCGCCGAGGGCCGGGGAGCGCGGCAGCCACAGCAACCTCACCGCCCACTTCGCGGACTCCAGAAGAGCCCGGGAGCGCGGAGGGGCCGTCACTTCCTGGGCCTCCTCCCCGGCTTCCGTCCGACTCCGCCCCGCCCTCGCCGCGCCCCGCCCCCTCCCTCAGCTGACTTGCCTGTTAGCTCTTGGGCTTCTTCCGACCTTCGTCCAAGAACTGAGTTCTTTCTGTGAGCCTTTGATGGATTTCTCACCTCCCTCCATATTTCATCCTCCTGACATTCATTCATTCATTCATTCACTCAATGTTTTTTAATACTTTCAGCGTGCAGGGAACCCCGTTCTAGGTGCTAGGGTGACAGCCGAGAAAGGATCCCGAGAAACAGACGATAAACAAGAAAACAGATTAATAACAATTTCCGATAGTGATAAGTGACGTGAAAATAGCGTGATGTGAAAATATGACATGAAAATAGTGGATTCAGCACTTCTGGCGGCTTGGTAAATTTATTTTAAAAAAAAAAGGAAGAAGAAAGAAAGGGATGGATAGTCGAGTGCTCTACTTAAATGGCCACTGCGAGGTATCAGCTGTATTTCTCTGCAGTAAAGCTAAAATTTTCTACATGAATAGAACTCTTTAAAACAGAAAAAAATGTTCATCTGAAGCTTTTTTTTTTTTTTTAAGTCTTACTCTGTCGCCCAGGCTGGAGTGCAGTGGTCAGGAAAGTCCTCTCTGAGGACCATGATCTTTGAGTTGAATGAGACGCAAAGTAGGAGAAGCCAGGCTTGGAAAGATCTGGGGAGAGCCTTTCATGCAAGTGCAAATGTTCGGAGGACCAAATGAGTTTGGCTGAATCTGAAGCCCAAAAGCCTGTGTGGCTAGGAATAAGTACGGGAGGAAAGGAGATGAAGTTGGAGATGTAGGCAAAGGCCAGATAATGTGGAGGCCTTGCAGACAAGGGACGAATTCAGCTTTCATTTTAAGTACAATGAGTAGTCTGTAAGGATTTCCAGGATTGCTCCCTCCCACGTCTCTCCAAATTCCATTTAGGCTCACTTTTCTGTTGGGCACCAGCACCAGCCCTGTACGTGGGTGCCCTTAGTCCTAGAGGTGACGAGGGATTGAGAAAAGGAAATAGAGACAGAGACACAAGGGTAGAATTCACAGCGTTGGTCCCCAGCTCTGGGCTCCAAACACTTTTATTATGTGTGTAATCTCATTGATCTTATAGACATGAAAGGGAGGGTAAAGGGGTAGGTAAGGTAGTGGGAGAGAGCGCTTGTGATCCTTTTAAGACATGCTAAACTAGTGTTCTGAGTTTATCACCAATTGCTATCGGGTTGCTGCGGCATCAGAAGTATAGCGGCCAGGGAGCCACTGGGTCTGCCACACTCAATGCATCAAGGGCTTTTATCTCCCTAGCACTGAGGACATAGAGCAGTTAAAATCACTCCATATTCTGAGAACCTAGACAGAGCCTGAGGCCTTCCGTGATCTCTGCCCTGCAAGGCTTTTCTCCTCCTTGCCAGCTCCCATCTGCAAAGACCCTCCTGGATCTTGTGAGCAGAGGTCGACTCCCTTCTCAGAGATCTCTGCACAGGCCCTCTTTACAAGACCCTCATGCAGTCTCCATGTTGAGAAGGCACTCTTGGGACCAGAGCAGTATTCCCTGCTCTGCAGCCACTCTGAGGTGTTCCCCGGTGTACCTGCGCTCTCGGTTGGTCTTTACCTTAGGCCTCCTGTTGCTGCTTGATTTCTGATTAACTGCACCGGTAATATAGTTTAGTTCTGTGTATAAACTTCAGTGTACTCTGAGCCAAGCAAGCTTATAATTATTTAGCTACAATTAACATAGGTCTCCCCCTGACCATGTTGACCCACACTTTTCAAAATCATTTTGTTTCTCTTTCTTGATCACCAACTGCTACAGTCACATATGTTAATTTTGTGTGAACTTGTCAAGGAGTGCAATTATATTTTAACAACTGAAGTTGATTGAGTTACAGAATCTTCACTTTCGAATGAGACAACGGAGGCCAAGAGGCTGAAATCATATGCGAGGTCAAACAGCCAAGGGCAGCTGGAATTCAGGCATGGGCACTCTGACTCGAAACCTAGCCACTAACTGCTAACCCAGCCACCGTCAGCCTCTGACTCCTCTCCACTGGTCTCAAACCCACGGAAGGCCAGGCACGGTGGCTCATGCCTATAATCCCAGCCCTTTGGAAGGCCGAGGCGGGCAGATCACGAGGTCAAGAGATGGAGACCACTTGGCCAACATGGTGAAACCCTGTCATTACTAAAAATACAAAAATTAGCAGGGCATGGTGGTGCGCACCTGTAGTCCCAGCTACTCGGGAGGCTGAGGCAGGACAATTGCTTGAACCTGGGAGATGGAGGTTGCAGGGAGCTGAGTTCACACCACTGCACTCCCGCCTGGTGACAGAGCGAGACTCTGTCTCAAAAAAAAAGAAAAAGAAAAAGAAAAACCCATGGAAGAGAGAAGGGGTTTCTCCTGCTGTCAGCTGCCACATTTATCGTATCTTCTTCATGACCCCAAACCTCCCTTTCTTCTTTCAGTAACAAACAAAAGCTCCCATTCAAATGAACAGAGACAAGTAGATACTGCCTTGCCGGGGCCACCTACAACCAGCCAGAACTATCCTTCTGTCTTTGATTACATGCATTCTGAATGTCCTCCTGAGGCCAAGATGCCACCAATTCTCTCCAACAAAAGAAGGCCACTGTATTTTCACCAGGGCTACAAGGATTCATTATCTCATTATTCTTCAAGTCATTATCATCCTAAATTGAACACTACTGATGTCTAAAATTTCCTTTGAAATTCATCCAAAATTAAGATGAGTTGATGATTAGAGAGATGAATAAAAGATTTGTGATAGGCTGGGCGTGGTTGCTCATGCCTGTAATCCCAGCACTTTGGGAGGCTGAGGTGGATGGATCACCTAAAGTCAGGAGTTCGAGACCAGCCTGACCAACAAGGTGAAACCCCATCTCTACTAAAAATACAAAAATTATCCAGGTGTGGTGGTGCGTGCCTGTAATCCCAGCTACTCGAGAGGCTGAGGCAGGAGAATCGCTTGAACCTGGGAGGCGGAGATTGCAGTGAGCCAAGATCGTGCCACTACACTCCAGCCTGGGCAACAGAGCAAGACTTCGTCTCAAAAAAAAACAAAAAACATTTGTGATAAAGCAACTGTGGTAACATATTCGTGGTGATATCTAGGTGAAGTATACGGGTGTCCACTGTACAATTATTTCAACATTTCTCTATGTTTGAACATTTTCTTTCTTTCTTTTTTTTTTTTTTTTTTTTTGAGACGGAGTTTCACTCATGTTACCCAGGCTGGAGTGCAATGGCGCGATCTTGGCTCACCGCAACCTCCGCCTCCCGGGTTCAGGCAATTCTCCTGCCTCAGCCTCCTGAGTAGCTGGGATTACAGGCACGCACCACCATGCCCAGCTAATTTTTTGTATTTTTTAGTAGAGACGGGGTTTCACCATGTTGACCAGGATGGTCTCGATCTCTTGACCTCGTGATCCACCCGCCTCGGCCTCCCAAAGTGCTGGGATTACAGGCTTGAGCCACCGCGCCCGGCCTTGAACATTTTCAAAATAAAGTATTGAGGGCAGGTTACAAACAAACAAGGATACTTTGAGACGGGAGAGACGAACAGACCGTCAACCCTCTTGGTTTGTTTAGTGCACACTTATGCACTTCTCTAGGGGTCTCTGCTTCTCTTTGCAATTTTAGAAGACAAGAATTTAACCTGTGATTCATAAACTCCAAGGTGGCGAATCATCTGCGAGGTTACTTAAAAAATAAAGATTCTTGGAGATCTAGCCCCAAAGATTCTGAATGTGGATGGGTTTTGGGAATACACTTCTTTAACAAGCCCTTCATGTGTGTCTGGGAAGAAATCCATCCACAAAGAGAAACACTGTTTTGTAGTGTGAGAAAAGTGCAAGCCTCTGTGCAGGACAGTGGACATGCCATATTTTCTTTGCTCTGATTGATTTGGGGGTGCCCAGGACTTAGAGACTAATATTTCACCCAGGTAAAGAAGTGGGCATTCCTTATGTTTTCTTCATAAATTGAAAGACCAAATAAAAATGTTAGTGCTTCATGAGCAAACACTTGTATAGGAAACTCTTTTGATGGGCATATTCACACAGAAAACTGTCACCCTCATTAATGAATAAACAACTTGGAATAGACAATGGTGGGATGATGTTGAAATGAGAAATCATATTTATGGTGAAAAAATACAACAAAAAGAAGAAAGGAAGATACGCTAAATTTAGGTTTTAAAGAATATTCACTGTTCTCCTTTAATATTAGGTATTTAATTTTTTAAATATATATTTTATTGCATTTTAGGTTTGGGTTGGACTATGCAACAATCTTGCATGTTCTTCACATGTACCCCCAAACCTAAAAAGCAATAAAATAGGGGTGTGTTTTTGCTATTATAATGAGCAAAGGGTCAGTTTGAGGACAGGTAAAATCAAAGTGCTCATGCTCTTTACAGGAGAAATTCCCTACTGAAGATGGCTTTGCTTGATTGAGTTCAATCACAATTCAAATGCTGAGGCTTATTGTGTTGACTCTTCAGGTCACCACAGTTGCTGCGTCCTGAGGACACCGGCACTTCCTTAACTACCTGTCCTGCCTCAGTACTACTTTTTCAGTTGAGAGTTTTATTTTTCAGCAGCTCCTGCTAAAAATTTTTTTACTGGCTCTCTTATTGGTATTAGCACAGTTAGGCAATGATGTGGATACAAAGTTAGATTATAGATGCTGTCCTTCAATAACATCGCTGTACTGTCCACAAAGGACTATGTTACAAAATAGAAAGAGTTATGCATAAAAAAGATACAAATTAAATATGTTGCTAATTCAGAGCAGAGGGAAATGACTTTCAGTTAAAAGGATCACTACAGTGGAGCTTCAAGGTGGGATTAAATTATACTTGAGTTTGGACACACAGATAAGGGCAGAATGTATTCAGGCAGTAGGGCGGTACCAAGGAAGGCAAAGAAAGTATGCAAAGGCACAGTGAATGAGGGAGCAGGAAGGACAGAGTAGTTAAGGA